ATTGTGCACTTTAAATATGTGTAGTTTATTGTGTGTCAATTAGTTGTTAGAAGTGCCCATACTTCTAGACTCAGGAATTTTTATCCTGAGGAAATAATCAATGTAAAGCTTTAACTAAAGAATGTTTATCAGTATAACACTTACAATAGAGAAAAGCTGTAATTAGAAGTTCCCCCATGGAGGATTAGTTAGATAGATAATGGCTTCCCATGCAGTCTCTGAAAATTGTAGTCATATAAAAAGAATGATAATGACCTGGGAAAATACTCAGGATATATTTTTAAGTGGAAAAAAGACAGATTCCAGAAGAGAATACATGCAATTACTATGAAAAACAGTATGGCAATCCCTTGAAAAATTAAAAATAGAACTACCATATGATTCAGTAATCCTACTTTTGGGTATGCATCCAAAAAACTCGAAAGTAGGATCTCTAAGAGATATTTGCACATCCATGTTCATAGCAGCACTATTCACAACAGCCAAGAGATGGATGCTACTACCCAAGTTTCCATTGATGAATGAATGGATAAACAAAACGTGGTATATACGTACAATGAAATATCATTCAGACTTAAAAGGAAGGAAATCCTGTCACGTGCCACAATCTACAAGAACCTTGAGAACATGATGCTAAGTGAAATAAACCAGTTACAAAAAGACAAGTAGCATCTGATTCCACTTATATGAAGTATCTTAAAGTAGTCAAATTCATAGAAACAGAAAGTAGAATGGTGGTTACCAGGGGCTGGAGACAAGAGGAAATGGGGAGTTGTTCAGTAGTATAGAGTTTCAGTTTTGCAAAATGAAAAAATTCAGGCAATCACAACAATGTGATCATAGTTAACACTCTTGGACTATATTTTAAAATGGTTAAGAAGGTAAATTTTACACTATGTATATTTTACCACAATTTTTAAAAAGTGAATGTATAGGGTTTTGTACTTTTGAAAAAAGAATTAAAGTATCTAAGGAAATGAAAACATGGGAAAGATAAACCCCAAAAAAGTAATGATCTCTGGGTTTTGGCATGAGGAATGATCTTAGTTTCCTTCCTTATGCGCTTTAGCATTTTTCAGATTTTACACAATAATCGTGTTCTTGTTTTATAATCAGAAAAAAATTTGAAGGAAGAAAAAAATTGTCTTTAGTCTTCAAATCCAGTGAAATGCCTGAAAGAGCCGGGCCCAGAGGACACATCATAATGTCTTACTTTTCTTCCTTCTCTGTCTTCATACAATTGCAGTCGCCGATTCCCTGTTCTTGATCTGTCCTTAGTGGAGCAGGGGAGTGACTGGTGCTCCTGAGGATAGTCATCTTGCATCCATTTGCAAGATGTGATCCTCTTTTGGTTTTCTTTCTTCAGCCTCAACTATCCCAATTGCAGTCACCTCTTCATCTGAATCCAATTGGTGTTTTTTTTTTTTTCAAGTTAAATCCTATTTCAGGCAGTTTTACAGAGAGTGCCATTAGTTCCTTGGATTTTTGTTAGATTAAATAATTCCTGAAATAAGTATTTTGATAATAAGACTCAACAACCATATTCGCTATATAGAAATTTTTATTTATTTATTTTTAAGATTTTATTTATTTATTCATGACAGACCCACAGAGAGAGAGGCAGAGATACAGGCAGAGGGAGAAGCAGGCTCCATGCAGGGAGCCTGATGTGGGACTCGATCCCGGGTCTCCAGGATCACACCTGGGGCTGAAAGTGGCACTAAACTGCTGGGCCACCGGGGCTGCCCTCTATAAGACCTTCTAATGAGAGAGAGAGAGAGAGAGAGAGAGAGAGAGAGAGAGAGAGAGAGAGAGAGACTCTTATGCAGGTTCCATGCCCAGCATGGAGTCCAACATGGGTCTTCATCTCACAACCCTGAGATCACCACTGGAGCTGAAGTCAAGAGTTGGATACTTAAATGACTGAGCCACCCAGGTACCTCTCATAAGGTTTGCAGTAAATTGTGTTCAGTGGTTGATTCTAAATGCATACCAAGTTCACTGTCTTACTCTCATATTTTATTTTATTTTTTAAAGATTTTTATTTATTTATTTACCAGAGAGAGAGTGCATAAGCAGGGGGAACAGCAGAGGGAGAGGGAGAGGGAGAAGCAGATGCCCCGCTGAGCAGAGAGCCTGATATGGGGCTCGATTCAAAGACCCTGGGGATCATGCCTTGAGCTGAAGGCAGCCGCTTAACTGACTGGGTCACTCAAATATTCTGATATTTTTAAATCCCAGAGTGGTTAAAGGCCTGAGAGACACATACTAAAGAGATTAGAGAGGTACTTTGTTCTTGCAAGGGCCCCCTTCCTTTTCAGACACACCTCTCCTTTCTCTGTGGCCACATACCCAGGTCACTGCTGCCACTTGGAGATGTAGCTTATGGCACATGCAGGTGAATATGTCTAGTAAGTACTTGCAGTAAAACTGCCAGCTGCCTATAAGTTGTTCTTTTTTCAGCAACAGAACTCTCATTTTTAGCCAGGCGCATTGCCACCCAAGTAAAAACAAAATTTTCCAGTGTCTGTGCAATTAAGTGTGATCATAAGGCCAAGTTCTGGTTGCTGATATGTGAAGGATGTGTGAGGTTTACAGGAAGTGTTCTTTAGAAAGAAAAGAGTTCCATCTTGCTTTCCCCTTCTTGTCTCTTGTAGTCTGGGATGTTGATATGATGGCTGGAGCATCCAGGGTTGTCTCGGACCACGAGGCCAAGGACTACATACACAAGGGATGGTAAATCAGAGCTGGAAGGAACAGAATCCCTGATGTATCAGGGAAGTGCCATGCCAGTCTTGGACAGCCTCCCTGTGGGCTCTTTTTCATGAATGTTTTGAAGCTCCTATTTGTTAGGTCTCTGCTATCAGAGATGAAAAGGAATTCCTAACTTACACTGAATTTGTTACCAGAAATGGAATCTGCAGTAACAGATACCAAAAATGTGACATTCATGTAGTGTAAGAGAGGGAAGGTCAACATTAAAGATTCAATTACTGGGATGCCTGGGTGGCTCAGCAATTGAACCTCTGCCTGTGATCACAGGTCTGGGGATTGAGTCCCACATCGGGCACCCTGTCAGGAGTCTGCTTCTCCCTCTGTCTATGTCTGCCTCTCTCTCTGTGTGTCTCTCGTGAATAAATAAGTAACATTAAAAAAAAAAGGATTCAATTACATCAGGCTGGAATTTGAAATATAGCCACACATATTTTTTGACATGCCTCCGATTGAGATGGGATGTTGGTCCCATCCACTTAAATCTAGGTTGGCTTGTGAGTGCTTCTGCCAAGAGTACTGTGGAAGTGATGTCTGTGATTTCTGACACTAGATCATAATATACCACGCACCTGCCACTATGTAACATTTACTCTTGGAGCCCTGAGCTGCCATTTAAGAAGGTTGGTTATCTTGAAGCCACCATGCTGGGGAGGCCACATGAAGGTGCTGTGACAGTCAATCAAACTGAGCCTGTCCTTTATCCTTCCTGGCCTTTCTCACCCAGGCACCAGACATGTGAATGAAAGAGCCATCTCAGAGGTAGATCCTTTGGCTCTGGCTATTCTAGACCCCCAGCATCTGAGTCCTCCCCAGGCAGTTCAAGTCATTTCTGCAGAGGCCCCACACATGAATAAGAATTGTCCTTGCTGTGTTCTTTCTAAATCCTGACCCATAGAATCTGTAGGCGTAATCAGATGGTGGTTATTTTATGCCATTATATTTGGGGTTTGTCTGCTCATAGACAATTGGGACAATTCTCATTATCTGGTTAAGGTAAAAGTTTAGTTTTCTGTTACAGAAAAGAAATCCAGAGTTAGGCAGAACAGGGCTAGTCTGGTGTGTTCATTGTCAGGAGGAATTCAGATCCCTTTATCCTTCCTGCTGCCTGGAATGTGGACATGATGGGTGGAACTCCAGCAGCCATATTGGTCCAGAAGGCAAACTTGATGATGGCAGAAACAAGAGCTGAAAGGAGGCTGGGTATCAAATAGAGAAATACACTTCTTCTATCTTCTTCAAGATACTCTAACTTTTTGATCTTTTTGATGTTGTTAGGAAGGAATGCTAAGTGGTATAGAATTTGAATACATTAATTGAGAACTTAGGACACTGGCTTGTCTAGAGCTAAAGGCTAGAGAATTTTCAAGATAGGAGTGGTAGCTGAAGTCCTGAGTGTAGATGAGATTGGAGAGTATGGAGTGAAAAGAGAGGAGAGCTAAGGAGAGAACCTCAGGGAATACTAGCAGCTAATGGAAAGCAGAGTGAGACCACAGGAAGGACTGGAAGGTGGGAAAACATCCAGGATGGATGGTGTCCAGCAAACTCAGCCCCTTCCCTCTAGGGGGAGATTAGTTGGCAGCCCCTAATGCGTTCCCCATGTGTACACAGCTAGTATGGAACTTTCCCTTTGTTTTTGCAAGGCTCTGTTTTTCTGAAGTCCTTCTACGTGGGACCAGAAGGAAGCTCCTTGAAGTATGGGGTCAATTGTTAATCATTTTTGTTGTCCCAGTGCCTACAACAGTGATTGGCATGTAGTGAGAAGGCAAGAAATATTTGCAGGTGGAGTTGAATTGAACTGCTGTTGGCAAGGAAGTCGTGGGAAGGGAGGGTTTCAGGAAGGAGGAGTGGTCCACAGTGCCAAATATCGAGAACAATCAAATAAGATAAAGCCTGTAAAGAACTGGTGCCATTTGGCTCAGTGTATCTGGCAATTAGGACATTGGTAACCTTGGGGAGAAGTGTTTTCATGGGGATGTAGGGACAGAAAACATCTGCTGGGGGGCAGGGTGACTGAGCCATGTGGCAGGGTGGCATGTTGGCTGCTCTCTTGGGAAGGAAAGGGCAAATGAGCAAAGAGACACTGGAGGGTGAGAGGAATTTAATTTTTCCTATTTTATTATATTAGAGACAGAGAGCAGGGAAGCTGACAAGGGAGCCTCCCTGACCTCCCCAGGACTGTGCCCCTGCCCTCTCAGAGTTGATAACACTCTGTCCTTATCCCTTGTGTGCCCCCTGCTCCTTTCCTGCTCTGTGACATTGCCACCATTGTTTTAGAAGCTAAGTCGCTATTTAATTTCTCAAATTCATATACAAATCTTTTCATGTCCCCCCACCTCGCCCCACTCCATCCCAATTCAAATTTAAGTTCCTGAAAAGCAGAGAATGTTTGGCGACTGCCGAGCTCCATAGGTGCTCAGCTGGTGCTGGCTGCCCATCCTTCCTCTCACTCAGGGCGTCCTGAAAACCATCTGAGCTTCAAACAGCATCAGGCAGCAAGAGCTGGTGCTCTACTGGTGGCTGACACGGCTTCATAAAAACAGAGGAGCGCCCCACCACAAGACAGCAGAGGAGGAAGGGGATGGATGGAAATAGCCTTTGCATACTGCTGGCAGTGGTGTGCAAGAAGCCCAGGCAGGATGAGGGCAGGAGTTGGGCTGGTTTTGCAGCATTGGATAATGAATAAAGATGAGTCAACAGCATTTACCCCACATGGCCATTTTATTCTGTGTTCAAATAATACAATGATTTTATGAGCCTCATTGTACGCACTTGGATGAATCCAAGGCAGGGCTGTCTTCACTGTTGCAGCAAACAGGTCTTACAGCGTGGCTCACTCTAATTTAAGGAGAGCCTGTTTTTGCAGATGGAAAGAAAAGATGTTGAAGTGGAAGCTGTTGGCTGCTCAAATGGAGGGGGTGAGTGGCGTCCCAGGTCGGCATTATCTGAGGGTGGGGACCAGTTTTACAGGTCCAGGAGCCCTGTTTACCAGTAGCTTAGGGGAGTTGATTGAGTCCTGCTTTCCAAGCTTATAGGAGAGTATGGCATAAATCCATACCTCTTAAATTTAGTATGTGTAGCCATCTTGAGGATGGGATAGGAGGTTTAGCACAAAGGAGGTAGGAATCTCCCTAAAATGCAGACCTCAGGTGGGGCCAGAGGTTCTGCATTACTAACCAGTACACCTCCACATATTTTGTGTAGTAAGGATGGATTTTGGAAGCTGACTTTTCTGAACTTTCATTACCTGTCACCACTCATTTCCTAACAACCAAAGGGCTGCTTAGGGAGGCAAGAAACACGGCCTTTCTTAGAGGCCAAGAAAGACGGCCAAGTCTTCCAGATTTGCTGGGCTTCATGAGAACCACATGCCATTCTGGTCACACCTTCTATCAGCCTGGGCATCTCAGTGGCTCAGGTTATATATTTCTTTAGTCAAGTTCCTAGCCTGATGGGAGACCTGGATACTTTGACGGGGCTTCTCTGTGTCCCCAGTGATTTATCTGCAAGCCTTCTGCAAGGATGGGCTTCCTCCTCAAGGCTAACCTACTCCTTTAAGGGTTGATTCTTCCTATTTTTTTCTCTTGGGGCAACTCTCCAAGAGGTGGGATGTACTGGCCACAGTGCTTACATGATAAATAAGGGAATCCCATTTAGAAATAAATAATCGCATCTAGAAACCCTCAGGGCAGGGCAGAGAAACCATCTAGAAGGTGAGAAGAGAACTGAGGAGAGCCCCTGGAGCAGGTTGGTCAGTGAGCACTGGCCTGATGCCTGACTCCATTTACCTGCTCAGATGTCCCTGAGCTACATCCCAGATCCTTGTTCAGTGAACCTGAGCTGCAGATTTGGGCTTTGCCTGGTATTTCATTGGATCTGGGTGCTCAGATGAGGCTGCCTGATGGAGATCCCAGGGAATCACCATTCCTGGGGCTCTGAGTGGCTAGGGAGGGCCTGCTGAAACCCATCAGTCACTTGTTTGGCTTTGTTGTTGATGAGACTAGCGCTCGGTCTAATGCTCTGCCTGGACCTTCTAGCCTCATACTATTTATCGATACCCTGATTCATAAAAATGAAAACCACAAAATATAATAGCCTATAAAAATCACAAGAACATAATTGCCTTAAATTTAACAAAGGCATTTTTTCCCCCAGAGAACCCAGAATCCTCCTCAGGTCCTCTTGTTTATTCCTGGAGGCCCCCTGTTCCAGGAGGCAGAGAGGAGTAGAGTCGAGAGGGCTTTGAGCTCCAGCTCATAGGCTGAGGTTTCTGGGGAACCAGTCTCTTCGTTGAGCCACATTTTTATTCTCCACACTTTGGGCATGCATGGGACCCTGTGGCTAATGGACCCCCTTCCCTTTAGGGAAAGGTTTAAAAAAATACCTGTGGCTATATAATTCTGACACATGCTTGTGTTATGTTCCTTTTTCTCTTTTTATCTCCCTCAACTTTTAAAAATTTTTGATTTTTTTTTTTTTTTTTTGATAGAAAGCCCAGGTCAGCCCGCCTACATCCCTTGCCAGAGAGCAGAGATGGCTGTGCAGGCCGGTCAGCCCTAATGGGCTCTTCGCCCCCAACCTTAGAAGCAGATGGGATTAGTGAGGCTGGGACTTAGGATGGACACTGGCTCTTCGGGCGTTTCTTCCTCTCCACCGCCAGCCTCAAGGCCTGAAGGAGCTTGTCCTTGTTATTCAGGATGTTGTACTCAGAGAGCTTCACCAGCTTGTCAAAGGCAGCCTCTGTGTATGTCAACTCCTTGGTAGCATATGGAGTTTGAGGGCCATAAATGTCCACGTGACCCTGTTCCAGCTCCTCAGGGCTTCGCTCCACACCTGGAGGCAGCAGAAGGACTTGCTATACATGGAAGGTTGTAATGACTTGTGTCTGTATCTATCCCCGTGGCCTGTCCCAGCACACATGGACACACACATCTGCATGAAAACACACATACACATGCACACACACACACACACGCATGCACATGCACACCTCCAAGTTCCTCAGGACAGGGATGCAGCTTGCCCATTGTGGGGCCTCCCTAGCATGACACAGCACCAGGCCCATGGTGGGATGTCAGTAAATGGTGGGTGACTGAAACAGTAGAGGGGGACATTACTGGCTAATGCAAGCTGGAGGGCTTTGCTTTCTTCCCAAAACCCAGGTTGGTTCAAACTAGAGCTAAGCCTGGCTTCCCTGTTAGTAAAGTCAGAAGACTGCACAAGTCTAACGATAGGAGCTGTCGGCCCCAGGCCAGGAGTGGGGGTAGGCGGTGGGAACAGAGCTCAGAGGCCGCATACCTGGGGCCTTGTACTTCTGGAAGGTGTCATTGATGAGTGGGAAGAAAATCACAATGGGGGCATCCGGTTCCTGGGAGTTCTCCATCAAGTAGCATTCCTTGAGGTTGTCCTCCTCCTCCTGCAGCTCGTATTTGGGGAAGGGGATGTTCTGCATGGTGCAGTACTCACATGTTTGCTTCATGGGCTGGAATATCACAGGACATGTTTGAGTATTGGGGGTGGTGGTGGTGGTAAGAAACCCGGACTCTTAGAAGCAGCTTCCTGATTTCCCCAGCCAAGTCTCAGGTCTGCAACTACTTTGCCTGTTTGCGCTAATTTTAGAACAAAGGGCCTGAGGCAATAGGTTGGTGTGTGTCCACTGCAAGCTCCTGAAGGTAGACAGAAGCCCTTTCAATGACACTTCACCCAAACACAGACCTGATAGATGTGAGTGGCAGCCTGAGGGTGACTGGAGCTATGCTGCGTAGAGCCATGTCTGGCCAGGCTCCCACGGGAGGTGCATGGCCTTTGGAACTGCCAGAGGGCCACAAGGCTGGAAAGGACTCTGAAAGGGCATCTTTATAAATGTGACATTAACAGAAAGAGCTGTGGACTGAGAGTGTCAGAATCCCCTTAGTTCTGGCCTCTGTTGCAAGCTCACTAGTGATCTTGAACAAGCCACTTCCCATCTCTGTGCCTCAGTTTCCTAACCTGTGACACGGGAATAATAGCAGTTGGGCCATCTACCTCCAAGAGCTGGTGTAAAGATCAAGTGAGAGCATGTGTAGGAAAGCACGTTGTCACTCATTTATGAACTTGAGTCATTATCACTGGTGTCATGCTTCTCCTTGGTCTGTACTCCCCTTTCCTGGGCTTCAGGACAGGACTGTATTAAAGGAAACCAAAAAAGAATTTCTTCCCCTTAAAAGACCAGAACTTTTCAAAGGTAAATAGAGAAAAATAAAAAATAAAAACCTCTGGTCCTGGTTTTTAATGTAATCACACAGAGGGTCATACTTCCTGGGCAAAGGGGTAATGTGATTATTTTGAAAATAGGACATTATAAGATCTCAAAGTGGTACAAAACTTTAGAATTGACTGGACTCTATTAAGGTTATTTTCTAAAACTCTTTTTTTCTTTCTTTTCTTTCTTTCTTTCTTTCTTTCTTTCTTTCTTTCTTTCTTTCTTTCTGCTTTCTTTCTCTTTCTTCTGATGAATTGCCAAATACAGCAAATGCTCAGATAATAAAATTGCCCAGAAATAAAACTAGAATTTGCTCCATGAGACTACTTAAAGCCCATGTGAGGGCCAGATGGCTGCCCCCTGAGATTTGAATGGCTAACCTCACATCAAGTAAAGCAGCTTGAGTTTCTCTGATGCTAAGTCTTGGGGCCTGCGGGGAATGCATGTTCTCCCATTTCCCAGTTTTGTGGGGCTCGGTCAGTGGCCTGTCTCAGAAGAGGCACTGTGCTCCTGCTCAGGCAGGAGACCTTCTTTGTTACACTTGCCTTTGTCTGGGACCCAGCGCAGTAATTGAGGTGAATGATGAGGTCAACTTTCCTCTCAGGCCTGAGGAGGGGCGGGTAGCTGGAGTTGACGAAGAATGCAGTGTCCAACAGGCACAAATGGTTCACGGACTCTGTCAGCTGGTTCGGGAAACCATCTAGCACTGTGTCTGAAAGCCAAGATTTCCAGTTACTATCATGCCCTGGTGACCAGATCTCAGCGGATGGTCACAGGCAGCTGGTGTGGACACAATGCTCTGCCTGGAGCTCCTTCACCTGGGCCTGGGCCTCGATCCTTCCCCCTTCTAGCCAGGATGCCCAGTGAGTCCCAGTGCCCCTTGGGGTGTGCTGATGAAGAACAGCGTTATCTTGGGGTTGTAGCAAGTCTTTAATGGAACACACATAGAAAACCCACTCTGACTCAGCCACAGAGCTTGTGGGGTCAAAGGGGTGTAAGAGGGGATCCCCAGGTGGCTCAGCGGTTTAGCGCTGCCTTCAGCCCAGGACGTGATCCTGGAGACCCGGGATCAACTCCCACATCAGGCTCTCAGCGTGGAGCCTGCTTCTCCGTCTGCTTCTCTCTCCCTCTGTGTCTCTCATGAATAAATAAATAAAATCTTTTTTTAAAAAAAGGGTTGTAAGAATATCATAAATTAGTACAAACCCTAAGCCCAGAGCCCTGCCCTTTCATCCCCAGACAGTGAGCATGAGGATCATTAGGCCAGGCCAAAGCAGCCATTTACAGGCTGTGGTCAAGGGAAATACCAAAGATGGCAACAAGTCAACCTTCAAGCCTCAGCAGGATGGGGAGGAGGTACTGAGTTTAAGACCTGGCTTTGCCACTTACTATTTGGGAGTTCTTGAGCTGGGTCATCCCTGCCCAATTCTAGGGAGCACCATTCACATTAAAAGGTGCCCCCAGAGTATAATTAAAGAAAGTCAGCACCCACATTTCCCCACCAGGGTCCCAACTTTTACCTGCTGGGATTGTTGTACAAATTCAATTAATTAAATATTAACACTGTTCCATCTGCCATTCAGAACCTCACCAAACATGGAATACACCATGGGATACACTCTGACCCATGAACATGGTCAGAGGAATTTTGTCATCCTTTCTCCACGGCAGCCTCAACATGCACTTCCCCCTTTATGGGAACAGAGGCAGGCAGCCAGGTAGGGTTACCTCTCCATATGGAGAACTGGCTGTTCTGGAGATAGTCTGTGTGCAGCTGCAGTCCCAACAAGAAGTTGTGGAACTGAGACACAAAGGCCCGATGGGTGAGGATGCTGCGGAAAGTATTGGACAGCCATGACCCTGGGATCACCACCGCAGTGTCCAAGACGTTGGCATCACATTTGGGGATTTCAGGCAGGAGTGGCTCATCTTCTGTGGGGGAGAGGGAGGATGGAAGGCAAGTCATAAGAGCTGGGGTCCCCAGATTGCCCAGGTGAAGCACTGCATTGTTACCTGGCACCCAAGGGCCAGCCACTGTGAGTGCCGCTCATACCTTCCTTGCCTAGGTTTTAAGATCCTGGCACTGGAGTCAGGAGGATTCAGGTGAGAGAACAGGGACAGGGTGGTGGAGAAGAGGGGTGATGACAGGTAAGGGGAGTCCCAGAGAGGACAGGGAATCTGGACTGGGAATCAGCCACCTGTAACTGTGCTCCTAGATCCCCACCCCCTTAGCTCTCCTCGGCACTGTGCCCTCTACCAGCCCTCCCCAACCCCTAGTCAGCCGGAGCTGGCCCCTGAAGCTTGTGACTGACCTCCAGTCACCCTCCTCTCCAGGCAAGGGTTATCTAACCCTAGCTACTGTGTCATCTCTGAACCACAGAGATGACGTTGAAACATGTGGCAGGTGGACTGGTCCTGTGTTTGTGATCCGCCCCTCCCCGCATTGCCCAACCAAGAGGGGAAGCCAGTGGGGTCACCCACCGATGTCGTGTACTCTCTCTCTCGTCCACCTGTGGAAAAACTCCTCCGAGCTTTGGGACAGATTCCAGGCATCAAGCAGGTTTAGGGAGAAGATGCTGCTCCACAAGCCTAGGGAGCAGGGCCAGCCGTGAGCAGCTCTGCCCCAGAGCCCCCAGACCCCAAAGATCGACTGCTTCTACCTTGGTCTTGATGTTCCCTCCAAGTTGGGCTGCTCAGGGGGTGAGACAGACTTTGGTTTCCCTCCCCACTGTGCAGCTGGACACCCATGACTGATGAGGGCATGCTGGCAAATGCAGGAGGGTCACCTGCTCAAGGGGTAACCCAAACCAGCACCAGCACAGGATTGTGGGGGAATAGAGCATGCCTCCCTGTTACTCCTCTACTTGAAAGGATTCCCACAGGCCTCCCAGGCCAGGAGTCACCTAGCATGTAGCACATCCGCGACTCTGGGATCCTCTTCATCAGCCGCCCCATGAAGAACTTGGAGCCGAAGAGCTCTGTGGGGATGAAGGCCCCATACTTCTGCAGGCCCACCTCGTAGGGAGAGAACTCGCACCACTCTGCACATGAAGCAGCACGGCAGGGTGTCAGGCTCAGGCCTGGACAGCCCAGCCCTCCCTCCTCAGGGCTCCTACAGGTCCTGGGCCTTGGGGGTGCCTGGCACAGGGAGGCCACAGTTCCCCCACAGGACACATGGGGGCGCCCACAACTGGCTTCTGCTGCCAGACAAAACACCGCTTTGCAACCCTCATGGCTCATTTGCTCCACAAACTGGATAAACAGAGACCACACTTGACTTTAAAGCAGGATAGGTATCCAGAGTCCCTCATTCTGGGTACCTTAGGAAATATCTAGAACCCCTTCCCTTCTTAACTTGATTACCTCTGTCCCATCAAATCTCTGCTCCTAGAAAAGCCATGAAACCCCACCAGCCTAGTCCACCCACAAAGAAGAGGTAGCAAAATCAAGGTGAAGGTCGGCAAAAGTGTGTGGTGGGTTGTGTGTGTGCTGGGGTACTGGGTACCTTTGCCTGCTGAGAAGGGACACCCTTATAAATTTCTAGCCACCAGTGTTACCTCTGAAATCCTGGTTGCTTACATCATCCTTGACATTGATGGTGAGGTAGATGGGCAGGGGGTTCTGGCCTTGGCTCAAAGCAGCACGCTGATCTGATAGTTTGGATTCATTTCTCTGTGGGGAAATGAAATGGTGAAGGAGAAGCAGCAGCCTAGAGGGAGAGCAGAATTAGGGGACAGTCTGGACCTCCAGCAGGCCATTTCCTGCATCCTGAGCTCACCAGGTCACTATGTAGGTCCCAGGCAATACCAGTCAAACCTGCTCTTAAAATGTACCTGTAGAATGTTCACTCATCCCTGGGCTCTTCACCGTCCCAGACATATGGATGAGAGTGGGACCGAATCTGCAGTTTAGGGCTATCCCTCAGAGTCCCAGGATCTCCCCATGTCTCAAGGACCATAGAATGAAAAGGTCGGGGTGGAAAAGGCCACCACTGTCCCTCTTCATCCCCATCATCTTCCACCCCGCATACATTAGAGCAGGTCCATTTTTCTTATCCGCTTTGCACATTGGGCTCCATCATAAAATTTACTTGGGAGGGGGAGAAAAAGCTGCTTTTTAAAAAATTCAAACAAAAGGTTTGGAAATGTGTACCTGATGGCAGCCAAAGTCCCTCCCCATATCAAACCCCAGGCAACACTCAGATTTCTGTTATCAAAAGCCTTGGTGCTTTCTTCCTCATCACACGGAGCACTAAATATTATCAGAAATATTAACTACCACTTATTGCTGTAATTTAAGGAATAGCACAGAGCAAGACCAGAATTGAAACCCCAACCTGCCTGAATCCAAAAGCCAACACCTTCAGTCTCTGCCTGCCTTGCTTCATCATAAGGACAGATTAGATGGTGGGTTATGAAGAAGGGGAGAGTGGGTGGGATCCATTGAAAGCTGTGAGTACCTCAGTTCTGAATCTCTATTGCCTAGCATTTTCTGACATGTGGGAGGCACTTAATTTTTTTTTTTGAAAGAAAAAAAAATAAAGGAATGAATGCACTTTGAAGATGAGGTTCAGGTCATCTTTCATTTTCAGGATGACTTCATCTAGGGACCTCCTAGAAAATAATTTGCTACCGTCCGTCTCCTGGCAAGTTCCGTTTTGAGTTCAGAACTCCTCAGATACTTTTGGGAGTGGGGCAGAGATCCAGAGATAGGTCTGGACAGAAACTAGGTGGGATGCTCTGCTTTGGGGCCAAGCAACAGCTAAAGTCGGTCCTCCCTGGGGCCTGTGCAGCTAGAAGGGTCTGGGTGTCTGCTGAGCTCACCCTGATGTCCAGGACCATGGCGTCCCCTGCAGATGCCACTGCTGCCCACATCCCACATGGTGCTCACAGCAGCTGAGAGCACCAGCACAGACTGCTTTTCTTCTTGGGCACGTAGTATGCAGATTGTTGGATCTCAGAGCAGAAAGGAACCTCCTTGGGCCCATCCTCTGTGAGGCGGCCATGAGAAGGAGCCCTACAGACCTTCAACTGCAAGGAGTATGATCGACTCAAGGGCATTAGCTGCTGTGCTCTGAAATCCATGGCTGAATTTGCGCTGGGGTCACACTTCCCATTGGGCAGCTCCCAGCACATGACTGAGCAGCAGGGATCCTGAGGCAGGCCCATTCATGCCCACGGAGGTCACCAAACTCCTGACAGACAACTTGTTTAGAGGATTCTCCAAGGGCCTTGTTGAACCTTCTAGACCAGCAGTCTAGGATGCTTCTCACAGCCCTTCTTCCCTCTCTCCTCCACTTGAGGTCAGACTTGTATCACAGTCTAATGCCTTGCCAGTCTCCTCCAGCTCCCTCCCCATGTTCTCTCCTGGTGTCTTGGCCAAGGAGGACACGCTGCCACTCTGCAGGACAGCATCTAAGCCATCCCCACCACAGGGGTCTCAGTCACTAAAGGGATGTGGGGAGACAGTTCCACCATCTTCCTCCATCATGCACTTGGGCACTTCACGCCTCCTACAGTCCACAAGTAAATCTGCAGATCTAAGCTAACTTCCTTCTGAGAAGTAAGTCTAAACCCCCACCCCCTCCCCAATGAAGAAAGAGAGCTGGACATCCATGGGGCACACTGGACCTCAGAAGATGCTGAGCACTTACCTCATCCCCCAGACAGGCCTCAATCAGCAGGCCCCAGAAATCTGTAAAGGTGACCTTGTAGCCTTCCTGACTGCGCTGCCGAAGCTCCTCCTGGAATTTGGAGAGCTGGTCTGGGAACAGGGCAGGCATCTTGTCCTTGACCACATGCCTCCGTGCCTCAAGTACGGCAGGCTCCAGATTTTTGGAGGACCAGTTGGGGTCACGGTACAAGGTAGCCATGGTCCTAGAGAGAGACACGCATGGGGATAGAACTGAGCCAGCCCTGGTCCAGTGAACACGGGAATCTGGCTATAGAGAGGGTGGACAGATCATGGGAGACCCTAACCCACCAGGAGAAGAGCCTGGAGGGAAAGAGGGGGCATTATTATTCAGAGTCACAGTGGCCACCATTTCTTGACTGCCTACCACGTGCCAGGTATAGCATGTTGCTTAAGAGTGAGGATTCTGGGGGTGCCTGGGGGGCTCAATCAGTTAAGTGTCTGCCTTTGGCTCAGGTCATGATCCCGGGATCCTGGGATGGAGCCATATCAGGCTCCCTGCTCAGTGGGGAATCTGCTTTCCCTCTCCCTCTGCCCCTTGTCCCCCCCACATTCCCGCCACAGCTCATGCTCTCTCTCTCTCTCTCTCAAATAAATAAAATCTAAAACAAAAAACAAAAAACAAAAAAAAAAAAAAAACAAGAGTGAGGATTCTGGACCCAGATCTTCTTGGGTTCAAAACCAGACTCTGCCACTCACTAGCTGTGTAATCTTGGGCAAGTTATCTAACCGCTCTTCATATCAGTTTTCCCATCTGTAGAATGGGGAAAATGATAATTATACCTACTTCAAAGAGTTATTGAGAAGATTACATGAGTTAATGCAATTTAAAGTGGTTAGAACAGTAGCCAGCGCAAAGTAATTGCTGGGTCGTGGCATGGCGAGGCCAACATTTGATCCCAGGCTTGGCTGATTCCAAATCCTGGACTCTTTCCACTCTGCCACAATTCCCACAATAATGATGCTGGGTAAAGATTGATTTCCCCCTTTTCTTCTTAGCTTAAATGTGGGCAGTGGGAAGGAGTAGAACAAAGACGGAGATCCCTCTAGCCCTGGATCACTGCCTCTTGTTGGCCTGGACCCAGCTTTTCTGTCTCTGTCAGAACAGCACCCGGGAAAGCACCCGGGAACCCTGTACTCCACAGTCTGCGATGTCCCTGTTGTCTGAACAAGTGGCCTCTTCCTTCACAGGCTTTGTTTCTGGTCTGGGAAGGTGGGGGTTGGTCAAGAGATTTCATCAACAAAAAGCACCCTGCTCTCCATAAGATTCACTCTTACTTTTATATGTTGAAAGAGCTTTCAAAACCATTATAAATGATTGATTTTAAAAGAATACTTCCAGTGCTTTCCCAGGCCAGGAGATCCCCTTCCCTCCCCCCACCCCCAGGGCCCCTCAGCTCCTCCCAGTCTCCTGCTGGGCCCAGCACTGCCAGGATGCAGGCACCCCTCTGCCCTGATGGAAGCAAGTTTTATCTCCTTAGTGTACCATCCATGGGCAATGCCAATAAACGTCAGCTATCCTTCTGTCTCATCTGGGCTGAAGCCTTGGATTTCCTGATGCACCAGCAGCCCTTAGCCTTCCTAGGGCAAGTTCATGTCCACTGCTCAAATATAAGCTACCTAGAGCTCCTCCAGGATGAGGGGCCCAGCTTGGGACCTCCAAGGCTCAGAGGCCCACCAGAGCCCCTGACAGAAGAAGATGCAGCCCTGGTGGTCAAGAGGCCCCTGCCAACCTGGACCAAGCTGTGTTATGACCTCAGTGGGCCCCTTCCACCATAAAAATACTAAAAAGTATGTTTTATAGTTATTGTATAAAAACAAATATGATCATGCTATTTATTAAAACATTTCCTTCAACCTAGACGTTCTTCCCCCCCCCCCACACTCTTAAGAGAAAGTAAAACATTTTTTGTGGGCCTCTACAAGCATTGTGGGCCTTAGGCACAGTGGTTCCCATGGAGACATTGGCCTCACACTGGCATCACCTTGGGGGGCTCACTTTCCTTGCTCCCCGGCAGGGAGCAAGGAGGTGGGAGCCTGAGGAAGCCTCCAGGGCAGAGGGAGGGGCAGGATGGGGGTGGGCTGGAGCGTGGGCAGCCAGAGCAGCTGGGCCAGCTTACCCACCCTAGGAGAGCTGGTGTGGTCAGAGCGGAGGGAGGCATCTTCTGGGCAGGATGGGTCAATGGCAGGAGTGGTTCACTCAGTGCTAGCCACTGTGTTCCTGGGTCCCGGCCACAGCCCCAAGGTACCCAGTACTGGGAGAGCCTCTCACAATGACCCCATGGGGCAGTGCCATTGTTAACTACTTACAGATTCTGAAACTAAAGACTCAGAGAAGTGAAGCTGCTGCCCAAGGTCACACGGCTGTAAGTGGTAGAGCTGCCCAGGTTTTGCAAGACACTCTAACTTAGGACAGAGAGAGGTTCACCAGAGACCCCAGGCTGGCCTGTTTACTGCTTGCTCTGGGCTCCACCAGACAGCAGCATCCAGCTCCTTACCAGGTGGCCCCTGACAGGCCCGTGATGTAGCTGGCACAGTTCAGGATGTTCAGCTTCTGCAGCGCCAACAGGTGGCCATACATGGCGGTCATGGATCTTGTTCCACCCCCAGTGGCCATGATGGCTATCAGTGGTACCTGGGAGCATACAGAGCTGTTGGAGTAGTGCTGGGTAGGAGAAGACATGGACTGGCATATAGATGCTCAGAAAGAACGGTGGAGGAGGGACCTGATCATAGATAGTGAGGTGTCGAATGACCTGAAAACTGCCTTTCCCAGAGTGATGGGCCATCGGGTAGGTCTAGAATTAGATCTTAGCTCCAAACCCAACAGTTGGGGAGGGTAAATGGCTCTGAAGCTTTACATGGCTTGGTTAATCAGAACACCATAGCTGGAAGAGTTCTTAGCCTAGCCCACAGTTAACAGATGATGACACTGGGGTCCAGAGGGTTGAGAAACTCCCTCGAGAACCCAGCTAGTGTGTGATTCCCTAATGGTTCCTTCTGTACAAGGATATGATATTAGGGCACCAGGCCCAGACCTGGCATATGATAAGTGCTCAATATATACCATATGAACAATAGCAGGAATCACTGTATTCTTGACGTGGGAAGGAGTAGAGATGTCACCTCTAGATTTACATAGGTGTGAGATGTCCTTGGTGTTTTCCCGTCAAGACAGGAGAGTGGGGAGAGGGACCTTTGCCAAGATGTACTCTCTTTATTTGAGCAGGGACAGTAAGATCCTTCTATCAGCTAAAGTCTCATCATAGTCCTCCTCAGGCATGAGGTCTCCAACCTCTCGCCCAAGGTCAGCCTCAGGAGGCAGGCACTGGACTAGTGATCTGCTGCCTGGGGGGTGTGGGCCTCAGTCGGTACCAGGGAGGTGACAAAGGGCTCTAACAAAGGCACACTTTCTGCCCTATGGGAAAAAGCTGGCCCTACAAGGGGAAGCTGCTTCTCTATAGTTTCCAACTGATGTTTTTTCTGGGGGGTTGTGTATGTGTGCATATTTGGGGGAAGAGATAATTGAAGAAGAGCCCACAGCCTTTTGGATAAAGGCGGTAGAGCTTTAGATGTTTTCCTGGCTGGGGAGAGCAGGCCCTTTTGTCCCTGTGTAAGTAAGACGTCTCAGGATCCCTTAGTGCATGGGGAGGAGCAGCTGCGGCTCCTTGCTTTCACTCCCTACCTTGCCCTTCCCTACCCTTGCAAACCCACGATTGAATCACATCCAGCACAGCCCTCAGCTGGGCACCCAGGAAAGGTAGTGGCGAGGTCACCCAGGGGCAAAGTAGGACTTGGAGGTGGCTGGCAGGATGTAGTGTCTGAAGGACAAGCTCGGCTCAGAGGGGGACTTACTCCCAGGCTGGCAGTCCTTTGCTTACACACCTCATCCACATGCAGGTCCTCCTCCAGCTGCAGCACCTGTTTCAGTGCCTGAGCCACCACCACCTTCCGCTTCTGCAGGAACTCCAGCTCTGCTGCACACAGGCTGAAGCCCAGCCGCACATCCAGCGTCTGAGGGCTAAGCAGACAGAGGAGCCTGATAAGTAGGCCTGTAGGCTTCACCACCACGAAGATAAGGTTTTAGGGTCAGTTGGTCATCAGCTTGAAGCCTGGTTTTGCCATATACCATTTCTAAGACTTTGGGCCTCAGCTTTCTCATCTGTAAAATGGGGCTAATTGTGCTTAACTCTCAGCACTGTCTTCAGCACTTCATGAGATTGACAAATGGAAAGCCCCTAAAGCCTTAGATGACATACTCTCAGCAGAGCCTCAACAAAATCAGGGACTAATCTAATCCTCTACATCCTCAGCTTATCTGGAAAGTCCAGAAAGGCTTCCTCCAGGTATCTTCCATAACTCGAGGCTAGACAGCAGTGACAAGGAGCCCTGGGATCCTTTGGGTCAATCTCTCTGGACCAGGCTTTACAATAAGGGCTCTTCTGTGGAGTTCACATTCTCTAGCCAGTTCTTCTTGGTCCTGGAGTAAATACTCCTCTGTGTGTTTGTGCAATTGACAAAAACCTTTCATATTCCTGATGTCATCACCCTCTCATCTCCATAGATCTGCAAGGCAGGTGGGCAGGAGCTGCCATAGTGTGTCCAACACGTGTCTTCTTTTTATCACATCCTTGCCCTGGACAAGTCCAGGCTCCTGGCCTGGCAGCCAAAACCCTACATGATATGTCCAGCCTCATCTTTCACTACTTCTCGGAAGGGCATGTTAGCTCTCAGAGCCCAGAAGCAGTCTCAGTTCCAAGCCTTTGCGCAGCCCTTGCCTTCACCAGAAGCTTCCTCCCTCTGCCTACGTACATCCCTAGTGTCCTTCCAGGCTCAGTTCCCCAGGGACTCCAGGTGAATGGACTTTGACAAATTTCTGACCTGAGTCTTACTTAGTGGCCCGAACCCCCAACCAGATCACATGTCCTTGAAACCAGAGCCTGGCAGCCTTGCCATCATGTTCCCTCCAGGTTGAACATGGGCCTACAGACACAACTATGAAGAAATAACTCTTTCCTTGGCCTCAACAAAAAATAAATAATAAAACAACAGTAATAACACTGGTTGATATTTACTGAGTGTCCCTCTTGCAGATCACTGAGGACTTCCCATGTGTTCTCACACTGGATCCTCAGGGCAACACGTACTCTTGGTTTTGCTCCAATTTACAGATGAGAAAAACTGCGACCGACCTACAGAGGCTAAATAACTTGTCCAAGGACAAATAGTTAATCAAATTGTAAATGGTCACTTGATTTTTGACAAGGGTGCCAAGGCAATTCAAAGGGGGGAAGAATAGTCTTTTTAGCAAATGGTGTTGGGGTAACTGGATATCCACATTCAAAAGAATTAAGCTGAATCCCTATATCACGTTGTATACACAAATTAACTCAAAATCTGTCATAGACCTAAATGTGAGAGCTAAAATCATAAAACTCTTAGAAGAAAACATGGGAGTAAATCTTCACAACTATTGGATTAAGCAATAGTTTCTGAAATATGATATGAAAAGCACAGGTGACAAAAGAAAAAATATATATACACTAGATTTCACAGAGTTTAAAATGTCTTTGCCAGGGTGCCGGGGTGGGTAGCTCAGTCAGTTAAGCATCTGCCTTCAGCTCAGAGGCTCAGGTTGTGATCCCAGGGTCCTGGGATCGGCCCCACATTGCACTGGACTCCCTCCAAGGAGCCTGCTTCTGCCTCTCCCTCTGCCCCTCCCCCTGCTTGTGCTCTCTCAAATAAAAATAAATAAATAAAATCTTTAAAAAAATGTCTTTGCTTCCAAGGACATTATCAAGAATGTAAAAAGACAACCTCCAGAATAGGAGAAAATATTTTCAAATCATATATCTGACAAGGGACTTATATCCAGAGTATAACAAGAATGCTTACAACTTAACAATAAGAGGCAAATAACCCACTTTAAAAATGGACAAAATATTTGAATTGACATTTCTCCAAAAAAAGATATAAAAATGGCCAATAAGCCCATGAAAAGATGCTCAACACCATTAGCCATCAGGGAAATGCAAATCAAAATGACATATCACTCCCTCAGTTGACTTAGAAAGACAGAAAGAGGGTGCTTTACCAGGGTGTAGTCTTCATGTGTAATGCGCAGTTCTCACCCTGGGAATTGAAAGATGAACAGCTTTTCAGGGATGACAATTTAGAGCCAAGTGGTCCTAACCAAAGAAGTGGAGTCTCACCACACTGTCCACCCTGACTCGACTCAGGACACACAGCCCACATGCATGCGCACACACACACACACACACACACACACACACACCCTTCATTCCTTCTTCTGGATTCCCTTTACGATCCTCAACTCAGCCTCTACACACTCTCTTTGGCTCTACACCACAGCCCACAGTTTCCTACCCCACAAGACTCCCCTGACCTGCCTGAGAGACCCCCATGCATCACCTCCCCCATGCTTTCCCCATCTCCTTCCCATGGGAGCTTGGGGCTAAGCTGCTCCCAGGCTCCTTCTCACTCCCAGGCCCTTACCACTGGCAGGGTCACCGTCTGGCCATCAGGGAGGCAATCAAGGGGCTGGCAGACAAGGCTGTTCTTCTTGTGTGCACAGCAGCAGCAAAGCTGGAAGGATGGATGGGTTCTGTGAGGGGTGAGGGGCTTTCTGGCAGCCCCGCCTGCACCAGTCCCCTATACTCCCCCACTGCCACTGTCTTGTACCCCATGGCTCCACTGGCTCTTGGGCACTTCCGTGTGCATCCAGGGCTGGAAGTATTTGGGGTAGTGGAAGCAGGCCGGGTTTGGGCAGCACGGCTCCCGGCAGTGTGAGACGCGTTGGGTGTGCTCGAAGGACTCCTTCACTGTCACCAGGAGGTCCTTCACTGGGATAGAGGACAAGAGGGATGAGCCCCTAGAAGCCTCTGACCTCCCCCACACCCCAACTTGAACCAGGAAAAAGCCAGGCTGGAAGAACCCAGGACAGGGGTTTAGAAGCAGATACCTAGGGTACTGGTTAAAATGCCTCAGTCTCATTCCATAGGGTCAGGCAGAGTCCAGGAATCTGTATTTAACAAGGCTGTGTGTGATGCTGACAAATGAGGTCCCTAGAAAGCCCTGAGATGCTGAATCCTCTGGACTAGCCCTGCTAGGTTCTGCTTTTCCAGGAGGTGCCCTAAGGTCATCCTCCTGCTGCATTGAAAATGGGCCTTCACCATACCACCAGATTTTGGGGGCGTGGGTTCTTCCTCCCTCCCTCTCCCACGTCTGTGTAGCTATGCTGCTCTCTTCTCTTGGGCCAGGGCTGGAAGCCTTGCATGAGTAAGATGGGATGGAGCGGTGAACTGAAGAGTTTTGTAATTGTGGATCTCTTAGGTCCCCACCGGCCAGAAGACGCTAGGACCCTCTATGAATTATAATCCGACCAGAGGAACAGGCACAGGTAGGGGGGCCCTGGGTGTTGTCAGAGCCCACCTGCCTTGAGACTGGCCACTGCAGCAGACCAGGAGTGCAGCGCAGACCCGAGTGGGCCAGGTGGGCAGTGCTGTACCACAGGCCCCTGCCCACAGTGCTTGTCAGGCCCGAGAGGTTCTGAGGGTCACGTGGGTGCCTGAAAGAGCATGCTCCTTACAGAGCAGGAGGGAGACCAGGGGTTCATGACCCCTGAAGGTGAGCTGATCCTGAGGAGCCCTGGCCAAGCTAAATCCAGACTGAGCCCAAGGCAGCCATGTGGCAGTTCGGTCCCCAGCAGCAGAGGAGGTCACAGGACTTACCTTTGCTGCTCTTCTTCTGCTGCCTGCATTCTGTGTGAACCTCTAGGCAGGAGACTTGACGAGCCTGAAAAAAAAGGACAGGAGGGTCAGTCTGAGCACCAGTTGCCCCCTCCCTCTGCCAGGCCAAATGGAGGAGATGAATGAGGGCATAAATTCAGCGCTGGTCTGATTTTGGGCCGACTCTGGGGTGTACCAAGTACATTTTCTGAACCCAATCAAGGCTTATCATCTCATTAAGAGATGGTTGTGAAAAGGAATCCATCCCGAAAAATCTAGGATGTATGGTCACCATTTACTAGGGGTCATGCTCTCAGCTACAGGTCAGAGATGGAAGCTGAGTGATTTGGTCCAAAACAAAAAAAAAAAGAGAGAACATTCCACTGTGAGCTTTGGAAGTGAGAACTTTCAACAAAATAGTCTTCTAGAAGTCAGATTCTTTTACCACAAACTCCCTACGACTGATTTCTGGGGGAGAGATCTCAAATCCTGAGGCTTTAGATGAATTTAATTGAAATATCTGTACCGATAGCTGAATTATGAAAATCTTTTAAACATCGGATTTGTGCTTATAGAAGGGAAATGGGACAGAGGCTGAATCAGAGAGGAGGCTGTTCCCAAGGAGGTACTTTAATTGGGGAGGTTCCCAAGGGGAGAGGTCGTCCTTGTGGGGTACGGGATCCAGGGCGATAGATGCCCCGGCTCCCTCTGCCCCAGAAGCAGGGGCCCAGCCCCTGCTCCACCCGTCCAAGCTCCCCATTGGCCTGCTTTAGTTAGCCTGGTTCCTGGCATGCTTCAGGACAGGGGTTCAGGTGAGCCCATGTTCTCTCCCATGGTTCTGTTCCCCTGAGAGCAGCAGCCAAGTGTGGCCTCTGGAACTACGGAAATCCGGAAGGACAATTACCACCAGCACACCATTGGTGATGAGGGACTCAGGTGGAGAGGGACTGGAAAACAAAATGAGAATGCCTGGTCAGTTATATTATTCTTGCTTGATTTCTCACAAAGGTGTTAAAGAGCCTGTATAGGGTCAATAATGAGGTAGCATGGCCTCCTTGATACTTATGAAAAATAGCAGCTTAAGAAACCTTAGCATGGGGGCTATCGGTAACTCCACTGGTTGAGCGTTTGAGTGGCTTTCTTCGGTTCAGGTCATGATCTCAGGGTCCTGGGATCAAGCCCCACATTGGGCTCCCTGCTTAGAGGGAGCCTGCTTCTCCCTCTCCCTCTGCCACTCCCGCCTGATGCTCTCTCTCTCAAGTGAATAAATAAAATCTTAAAAAAAAATAATGAAACCTTAGAACTATGGATTGTCAAGGAAAAAAGTGGCATACATTTTAAATAGAATAGGGAAAAAATATAGAAGTTGGAAGGAAGAGAAGAGTGCCATTTTTTAAAAAAGGGATAACTGTTTTTTATGCCCAATCAGATGCCCACCTGTGCTCTATGCCCAACTGTAAGGAGCTCTGAAGATAAACAGGTGGCAGAGAAAGGCCTGAGCCTGCCACTTGCAGCAGATATAAACAGTTCTGGTGGCAGAAATGACCCGTTTTCCTTTCTGTGCTTTATTTAATTCATGTATTTAATGAACAGTTCTGACCCAGCCAGAGAGGAGACTGGTATATAGAAAATGTCTTCATGTTATATAGTCAAGAATATAAGCCCTCAAGGTTACAATTAGCCTAGGGGAGTCCACAGCCCCCCATGCCAAAATTAGGCCTAAGATGATTATATCTCCAGATCAACACTTACTACCAATTTTGACATGTTTCATTTTGCAAGCTACCAGGAATTTTTCCTTAAGTCTTGATGAATCAAGAACTGGAGGAGAGAGCCCAGATGTTCCTCAGTGGGAGATAAAATTGATTTTAATTTGTTAATCAGCTGATGATGGAAAATGAGGCACCCCAAAGAGTTCCAAGAGCCCCTAGGTAGAGGACTCTCTCAGAGTGGAGTTTGACATGCTTTCTTGTTCTAGCTCTTGCCCCTCACCCTCCCCCTTTTCCTGGGCTTATCCTAAATCCAGGGGCTCAGCCCTATGAGGACTATGGAGAGGAGTCAGCTGCCCAATCACAAGGCACACTAACCATCCTGAACAGGGTTCTCCCCTCTCTACCCTCCCCTTTCCTTCTCTCCTCTCCTTCCTATCCTCCAGCTCTGGGGGCTCAATTCTACTTGAGTACCCAGCCTAGTCATATCCCTAGGACCCTAGGTTATTTTCTTAATTGAAAATGATGGTTAATAACCCCACATGTTGGATCTGAGCATCTCCTTGTATGGTTCAGAGTTGGCTACAGAGGGGGACAGGCTACTTCAGGCCAGGGTTTGGGGGAGTTTAACAGTTCAGGGTCAAAGAGGTGATCCTCTGTCTTGACCTCTTTCTCAGCCTGGCTTCTACAAGGCCCCATCACCACATGGCAGGAATTCTTCCCAGAGGCTACTCTCAGGAATGCAATTTGGCCAGAGTTCTAGATCTCTGAAGCAATTCTGATGTCAGGAGAACAGGATGAATAGGGGTGGGGCCGAGGCACCAACAGTATTTAGAAGCTCCCTCCCCTGATGGGGTGCCAAGGCTAAGAATGGGAGAGAGGAGGGCAGCAAAAAGGAAGATCAGGCTCTGAAATGCCTGCCCAGAGCCATTTGGGAATCAGGACTTTGGGGGGGTCCTAGGGGGTTGTGGCCTACTCACCTCTCTTCCAGCAAGAACTCTACCTCCAGCTCTTCCATGCCCTGGCAGGTGGATAAAGGGAAAGCATTTGTGTGCTGGGGCTGCACCTGTTGGCCCCAAAACATGTCACCCTCACCCCAGCGTCTACCCTCACCCCAGCTTCCCATCACTCTCCTGCCTTCTCAAAGGGCTCAGCACCTGGGACAAAGATCTGAGATAATATCTCCAGCCAGCTCAACTTAGAAGAATGGGGGCCCCTTCCCTCATCTATTCCTTCATACCTCTTGTCGCACAATTTTAGGAAGCTGTGACTTCACTGGAATTTAATTTGTCTGCCAGGATGTAAGCCAGGCAAGAGCAGGAATACTTGTTCCCTGCCGTGTCCCCGGGGCCTGGGACAGTGTCTCATACATAGTAGGAAATCAAGCATTTGTTGAATGATCGAATTGATAACATCCTGGTCTTTTTCAGCTCTGGTTTTCTCTGATTTGCAGACTTTACCTTCTTTACCCTCATCTGTCCTCTGTCCCCTGGGCTATCTTAGCAGCAGGAGTCAGGGAAGTAAAGGAGCCAGCACATACTCCATCCCTATTTTGTACTGTGAACGGTGCTAAGTGCCTTAATTATGTTTTCCCATTTTGGTGCCACAACAACCCTGCCAGGTATCATCATTGCCCTTAGACATATAAGGAAACAGAACACAGAATTAAATAGATTCTGCAAGGTTACACAGCCAATAAGCATAGCACCAGGACTGAACCAGCAGTACTATCTTTTCCTGACTTGGTGACATAGAGAAAAGCCCCTAGAGTGGAGCCATGGAAATAACCAGCTGCTCCTCATGAGGCAGGAGGCTGAGGGTCTGGATACCTGCACCCACCTCTGGGTTGAGTGGGAACTTCACATGGGTTTTCTTTCGGAAGCAGAGTTTGCTGAGGTCATAGAGAATTGTCAAGAGATGGTCATCTGGTGTCAGTGTGTCTTCATCACAGACGCTCAGCTCTAGCACATTCTAGGGGAGAAGAGAGGATACAAGTCTGGTTACTTTGTTTACATGGACTCATTTCCCTAGCAAGGATGTGGGTCTGGGTATGAGATCAGCACAGAGGTCCCTGCTCAGGTATGAGAGTCATTTGTAGAAAAATGAGCTCAGAGGGTATAGTGTCTATACTCTACTTTCCAACTCTCTGAAGACTTCCTGACCCTCTAGGGGGATGATGGAAGGGCAGAGGGAGCAAGACCCTTGCCAAGTCATAGGCTGTTCAGCACTGGGGCCCTAGATGCTAAAGAGAGCCCATTAAGTGCTAGACAACCCAATTCTGGGAAGCTAACATCTTAAAGCTCCAGGAGAGTGATGTGGCAAATTATGAGGATTCTCATACTTGATGAGCTTGGAGTGAAGTGTTTGAACTCTACCCGTTGGTTCATCAGCCCCTAAGGAAGTCTCATGGGTGGTCCCAAAGCTGCATGGCAAGAGTTGGGCGGCTACTATAACATCTAACTGAACACTGAAGTCAGTGATTTTAGGTGATGTGGATTAGCCTCTGAGGTCTCTTATTCCAAGGATCCTAGGAGATGTGGGTTAGGACCGGGTTTGCCTCTTTAGTCCCTATCAGGTGGTTAAAAGATAGCTGGAGGTTCCTTGCTGAATGAGATCTGTTGACCTTGTAATAACTAGAAACATGGACGTGCCCCAGAACCAACTGCATAGATTCGTACGAGCAGCCCCATAGATCTTTAGACAAAGGAAGTCCAAATTCTGATTTCAAGATGGAGTCTGAGCCCAAGTCAAGATCCCCTTTCCTCACCAAAATGATACATATGATAGAGGAGATAGTTTTCTAGTAACCAATATAAAGCCCTTCTTGAAAGCAAAAAGGACTTATCATGAACCAGAAATAAAGAATCACTCTAAAATATGGAAGCAATAAGCTGGAGATGTGAAGCCTCAAGTGACCCAAGACTGGGATTGATACCTCCATGATGAGGCCAAATTTGTTTAAAGAGCACTCTGTCGAGGGGGTGCCTGGGTGGCTCAGTTGGTTAAGTATCCAGCTATTGATCTTAGCCCAGGTCTTGATCTCACAGTCATGAGTTCCAGTCCTATGCTGGAATGCTGGGCATGGAGAAAAAAAAAAGGCGAAGAAAAAGAAAAATTAAAAAGAGCACTCTGCTGAGGTTATAGCTCAGCATGTCTGAGGGAGAATTCTCCCACAGGGGAGTCACCATAATCTGAAGAAGGCCAACACCATGAAACAACAGCCCAACAAATGAAAGAACAGATACTCAAGGAGCTAGAAATAATAAAGCCTTCTAAAAAGGAGTTAAGATAGGGAAAATCCTCTGGCTGGAATTAGACTGGCCTTGGACCTAGTGAATAGAATGGCCCTTCCCCTCCATGTGTTTTCTTACTAGAAGCATGTTCTGCAAGCATGCTCAATTTTTGCAGCTGGAACCACCAGGTTCCAGCAACAATTAGGTAGAAGGTGAGAGAGAAAGGAAAGACGATAGAGGATGAATAGACTTAGAGGGACAAACATGAGGCAGGCCTAATGAAGGAGTGGGTGAGTGAGAAGATGGGTCACTAGGAGAAGTAGGTGGAAAGAAAGACAAATAGAAGAAGGACACATAGGCAAACAGAAGGAAAAGCAGGCATGGGGTGGGATTGGAAATGTCAGCATGGCTGACACAGCGTGTCTTGCAAGTCTCACCTTCACTTGGCTCTGGATCTGGAAGCTGAAGGTTTCATTCCACTCTGGGTTTGGGCAGTTGGAGATGGTCCTAGTCTTCAGCCTCTCACGAGAAGCGGTAGGCAGCCAGAGGCTCACAAAGCAGTCTGTCTGGCTCACTGTCCAAGGAAGACAAGAGTGGGGAAGGGTGAGGAAGCAGCCTGGGTCCAGGAAGGAGAGAGTCGGAAGGAAACTTCAGGCAGGTCACTTTCAGAGCAAGCCTTTGTCTTCAGGCCTTTGTCTCCCCTCCTGACTCATGGATCTGACTCTCCAGAGACCTTTTCCCAGAACCCCTGAGAAGGCTAGAGCTTGCAGGCTAGAAAATTTTCAGAGGGGGATTCAGGTCCCACTGATCACTCTCAAGGACACAGATAGCCTCTGGCTCTTTTCAGAAGCATCCCAGCTCTCTGAGCTAACACCTGCTAAATTGGAACAAGGTCTGACTATACGGTTTTTCCTCTGCCAGGGGAATATCTGGAGGACAAGCTCCACAGGGTCCAGTCCAACTCTTTCCTTAGCCCAAGATACCAGGGAAACCACAGTAAGGTACTGCTCTTCCTTCGGGCTGCTGAGAAGCAAGGGGACATAGTCTGCTGTGAGTCTGCCCAGAGGGTCAGGATGGGAAAAGACTTGGGTGGAACAAGAGTTTAGGAGAATCTAGAAGCAGGGACCACCATTTACATAGAACTAATGTCTCTACTGCACCTAGCCAGGCTCTTCATACCTACACTAGTCTCCCAGCATGAGGCATGTGACCCAAGAAACCCTCTCACATCTAAGGCCATGTACTTTTTTTTTTCTCTCTTGAAATGAACAACTCCAATGTGATGTTGTGGGATGTGCTCCGGAGAAGGGACAAAGGCTTTGTTCTTTTTTAAAAAATATTTTATTTATTCATGAGAAACACAGAAAGAGAGGCAGAGACATAGGCAGAGGAACAAGCAGTCTCCCTGCAGGGAACCTGATGTAGGACTCCATCCCAGGACCCTGGGATCACAACCTGAGCCAAAGGCAGACACTCAGCCGCTGAGCCACCCAGGTGTCCCAAAGGCTTTGTTCTTAAAAATCCCTCCCAAAGTAGGGGAAGGACTCTCAGATCTTCTGGCTGGAGCAGCAGAAGGCATAGAGGTGAAAAAAAATAGCAGCCTAGTGTGGCTCTCTCCCTCCATTCTACCTGGGAGGAGAGAGAAACAGGTGCCATGATGGCCCTTGTCACTCTCCTGACAATGTGCTGGGGTAATTCCCAGGGTACACAGCAGGCAGGTAGAAAATGGTAAAAGTCAATACAGTCTCCAGTGTCAGAGAATCCTCTAGATGGTGGAACTGGTGTGAAGATAGGAGTTTTGTTCTAATAGGCCTGACCAAAACTACTAGTTCAAGTTATTAGTAGCAATGCCCGGTGAGAGTAAACCCGGGCTGTCCCCTGGGATTGACTCTCCACCCATGGTTTGCATCATAAGCATCCCTAGCCTCTGATTTCCTCTCCGATGTCTGATTAATCTTTGAGGGCTCGACGTTCAAGGGAATTGGAATTCATGGCCCTCCTCCCACTGAATAAAGGTAAGATGGCATTGCCTCTTAGGGGTCATAATTGCTTAATCCAGACACAAAGAATGACCAAAACCCAGAGTAATCTACAGAAAATGATGACCTCATTGTCCCCACCCATCCCCTCCATGGCCAATCTGCTCCTGCTTGCCATCAACTCAGGTGGCCAGGCCAGACGCCAAGTATCACCCTTGGCTCTTACATGACATCAGTTTAATTCCATTGAGCTCTCTGGCTCATTCACTTCTTACTTGTACTGCTACTGCCTTGGTGCAGGGCACCATCACCTCTGCTGCTACTTCCCGACTGGGCACCCTGTTTCCTGTCTTGCCCTACTCTAATCTTTTCTCTCAAGAGAAATCAGAGGGATCCTTTTAGAGCTGACCATGTCACTCCCAGTTTAAAATCCTTCAACATCTGCTATCTGCCCTCAGGAAGGAGTCCCAAGCACTCAAGATGGCTGCCTCTCCCACTTCCCCAGCCTGAACCTCCTCTTCTACCTCCCTATCACCCAGCCCCTGTCCTGCCCCCAAACACACACATATGCACACACACACACACACACACACACACACACACAAGCACTTGTACTCACCCTCTACATTCCAGTCAAACCCAAACATGTGTGGTCTCAGAAGTGCCATGCTATCTTGCCATTCCTTTTGTCTAGAACATGGTTCTCTTCCACTTTCACCCCACCCTTCCCTTGGCTAGCCCCTTCAGGTGTCAAAAGGAACTTCCTCTGGAAGCCTTCCCTGAGCCCCCAAGTCTTGGCCAGGTGTCCCCCTTATACACACACACAGCTTAGAACTTCTGCTCTTCTCTTGGCAGAGCACTGGCTATACTGGACCAAAGTGCAGGTCAGAGCACCTGCCTCCACTGTGCCCCAAATGCTGAGAGGGCCTGGAGACCATGAGTCAGCACTTGCTAAAAATTTGTTGAATAGATGAATTGAATGGAAAAGCCCAACTTCCTGCTTTAGAGCACTGTATCAAATTCTGGGCTGGGTCACCACAGACATAGGTAAGCAGCTCAGATCTCTATTTGCTCTGCTTATAGGGATACTCCCCAGGGATCTCCCAGGACCCCTCCTGGACAACCCCCATTCCTCCTCAACCTGAAATACTTTCCTAGGGTCTTCCTCCTGTATGGTAGGGAACCTGCAGGCAGGGATCCCGCTAACTCTCTACCCATTTGCTTAGCATAATTTGGCCCTGAGAAGGCCCCTTTGCCTCTAAAACCCCTTTCCTATTATCAGTTCATGCCTAAAATTCTCCCATTAAGCCCATTAAATAAAATCTCAGTATTTTTGGCATAAGTTTTAAATCTCTAGGCAAGGTGTGACTTGGAAGAGAGGGATGAATCGGATACCCACAGTTCCAGCATTGATTTGTTTTTCAGTTCTAAGAGACCTGGTCCCACTTCTATCCACAAGGTTGGGAAGGGGAAGGAGAGTACAGCTGAAGGAGGGGGAAATCCTGGGAGAGGGAGAGATCACTTGACGGAGTGAGGCCAGCAGGGGCCCAGAGGATACTCTGGGGCAGGCATCATTAGCTAGAAGGAGAGAGATCGGCATGTTGGCTATGATGAACGGTTAAGCAATGCTGACCCAATTTTGAGGATTTCGGAGACTACAGGGGATTTCCTAGGCACAGATGGTTCTAAGCCTTGTTCCTCTTGGAGTGATAGAGGGCTTGGTCATTGAATGACACACCTTCTTTCCCAGAATATGGGTGGCAAAGATGACTCAGTGAGATCTATAGATGTTGAGGACACTATCTTCCTAATACCTCTGGAGACACCTGCCTCACATTTGTTGGGGTACTGGCTTGAGTTTTAACTTGATTTTCCCAAGAGGAATAAAAGCTCTTGGACCCTGGGAGGTTTCCAGGGCTCCATCTTGTCCTGGCCCCAGGCTGGGTGGAGCACTCCTTGACAAGGGAGTCATCCCCAAATCTCATTCCTTTCAGACTCCTTGAAATCTTGGGAAACTCAGACACACACTTGGGGACTGAACCAGTGTGGAGCTCATTTTTGATCGAAGCTAGAAGGGAACAGTTTGGGGCAGGAGTAACCCAGGACCCAGAAGACGTTGGGATAGTTGCCAATCTCATCAGGCAAGGCAACAACAGAGTTCAGCTGAGGGGATTCCCAAAGGGGATCTGGAAACCTCCCAAAGGCAGCCTCTGTGCCAGAGGGGCTTGTGGGGAAAGGGAAGAGGAGGGTGGGGGGCCAGACCTCAGCCCATTTGTCTGATTGCCTGTGCCCCTACCCCCCACCCCAACCTCTGGGATGCACAGGGGATGGGTGTGGCTGGAGAAGACAGAAGGAGCTTGGACAAAGGGAAGGTCTGCACACACAGGTGCAGGCGTGCCACAAGTGTGCAGCCTGGGTGACCCACAGGGTTGGGACAGACACACCTGGGGGGGGGTGGAGGCAGAGGAGTGCAAGCTGTGGGTATCCTAGGGGTGAGGGGAGTGAGTGAATTCTGCCCAGGGGTGAGTGAAGTATCTGTGTGACCCACTGTGGCATGGGCAAGAAAGGCAAAAGAAGTGGCCAGGCCCTGCCCAGGGAACACTTCTCAGATCACTCTCTGGTGGCCTGGGAGGCCCCGAGAAACCAGAGAAGTCCCTTGGTCTCTTGCCAGCCTCCTGGCAGAGCCAGGCTCAAACTGACACTGGCTGGCATGGGCTCTGAACACTTTGGCCTCCAGGGGGGCCAGCTGGAGTCCTTCCCTACGCCCTGGTTTTCCCTCAGCCCCAGGGCCCTCTCACTTCTGTTGGCATAGTGGCAACAGTTTGTCAGCCTCTCCCCACCTATGCCTATCACCCCAGGAAGTCATGCAACCCCTTCCTTAGGAACTCAGGTACCCTATCACTTGGATTCCCAATCTTCCTCTGCCTGGCCCCAGCCTGCTTCTCCTGCTTATCCCCTCTACCTCACTCCCCTTCCCAGAGTCCAAACACTGGGATCAAACACTGCTTCCACTTTAGGCAATCTTTAGCCTCAGTGTGCAGAATGGGCCTCAGCATTACCCTGGGGTTGTTCAAAGGAGCAAGTGCTATTTGGAGGCCTGCCCCTGGCCGTGCACACAGATGCCTTGTGGCCTCTCTCTCTCTCCCTCAACATGGCCTCTCCCGCAGATCTGGAGCCCAGGACCTCTGGTCTGCCCCTGTCAGACCCCAGGCCCTCAGAGAAGCCTTCCTTAGCTACTCTCGGCTTTCAATGTCCTCCTCTAGTTCTTTTTTTTTTTTTTTTTTTTAGATTTTATTTACTTATTTATTTGAGAGAGAGAGAGAGAGAGAGAGAGAGAGAGAGAGAGAGAGAAAGTGAGCAGGGAGGTGGGAAAAGAATCTCGAACAGACTCCTCGCTGAGCACATAGCCCAGTGCTGGTGTGGTTCGCTCTCAGAACCTGAAGATCATGACCTGAGCCCAAACCAAGAGTCAGATGCTTAACTGCTTAACTGCTTAGCTGACTGAGCCACCCAAGGGCCCCCAGTCCTAAATTCTATAGTGGTAGGTTCAGAATGTCATCTCCTCTTACTAGTCTATAATTGCTTTGGGTTAAATGCACACTTGGTAACATGGCTCTCTGCATTCTGTCTCCCCGAGGCTCTCTCTACCTAGCTGAATCCCAGGGTGAGGGCAAGAGGAAAATGATGGAACTCTGGGGGAGCTTGGTGGCTCTTAGGCCATGCCTGTGTAGTCACCAGTCAGTAGGGACACCTAAGCCATGGGGCTTTGACACAGAGCTTTTTCCTTCTTGAGGGCCAAGCTTCACTCTGGATGGAGCAAGTTGAGAGCAGCATCGGGAGGAGATCTGGGTTCTCCTGATTTCTCGAATTCCATCCGAAAGATAAGCATGAGGGGAGTATCCTGCCCACCCAGATACCTTCACTTCTCTCTTAAGCCAAAGACTTCCCAGGGCCCCCATAATCTGGGAATGCAGGCAAGACTGGGTTGAAAGTGAAGTTAAGTCTACAAGAAAGCACTGCACAAACAGCCCTGGTGAGTCCGACCATATCCATGGGGCTACACTGCAGAGCTGGTGCTATGTGGCTTCTGCCACGAACCCCAGAACCCAATTTAGGACCCATGCACTGAGAAGGGGCATTGGGACTAGGCTGACAGATGGGCCTCTCCTTCCACCTCTAGCGGCCCACAAACTCATGCAGAAGCAAGAGGGGCCCACCATGGGAGAAGCTGCTGCTCCTAGCAATGGGTGCTAGAGGAGGGGGAGTAAGGAAGAGAGAGTGAGGTGAACACGGTTCTCAGACCCAGGTGGTCTGCAGGGGCCAGTAGTGCCAAAGTAGCAGGTGAGAGGAGGGGCCTGGAAAAATGATATAAACCCCAAAGCCTGGAATACTACCCGAGTATAGCAATCACCCCCACCCCCACCCCCCACCCCCACCCCCACCGCCACTCCTCTGATGTTTCTCCAGCCAGGGCCTGACTCAATCCAGGTCCCATGAGCAGAGAAAGAAGGAAGACAGGAGGATACTCACCCATATCAGCCTGTCGGACATTTCTCATCCGGATGACCTTCACGGTCAGGAGATGGCATGGAGACAGCCCACCCTGTGGTTGGAGAGGATAGTGGGACACTCTTCAGACTATGACTACTCAGCAGCTCCAGAGCCACGGGCTCCCACTGCTCATTCCCAAGAAGTCTCCTCCCATTCAATCCGCATTCTGGGCCCCAGAGGATCACTGGTCCCCAAGGCTGCGAGGTGAGGGGCTTTCTCCTCGCCCCACTGCTAGGAGCCAACACACCTTGGAAGAGGACAGCTTCAGGCCTGTTCTGTTCACGCTTCATCTGTTTGAATCTCAGGATTTGAAGCCCCTTCCCTGAAAGTTTGACCCAGGCTTAGAGGAGTCTATTTACCATCCACTTCCAGCCTGTACCCATGGCAGACGACACTGGACTCCTCCAGCTGACCAAAAGACCATATTTATAGAGGCCTTTGAACTATAGAACCCTTTACACTCCACATAGTTCACCCTATGTTGCCAAAATCACATTACAACTTTTTAAAAGGATGCAATTCTTCTCTATTTAAAATATTATTGGAGGGTGCCTTAGTTAAGAGTCTGCCTTTGGCTCAGGTCATGATCTCAGGTTTCTGGGATCGAGTTCTGCATCAGGCTCCCTGCTGGGCAGGGAGTCTGCTTCTCCCTCTCCTTCTGCTCATCCTCTTTCTCCCTCTCTCTCAAATAAATAAAATCTTTAAAAAAGTATTATTAGGGTTTTGGAAAAACCATAAAAGCAGGAAGAAAAAGTCTCCAGCATCCCATTACTGATGATCACTATTATCATTTGTTTTTGTTTTTGTTTTTTAATGTTATAATTATTTTTATTTTCAACTCAAACTGTACACAGATAGTTCATCTGTTTTGGCTATTATCAGAGACAACATTGCAATAGTTTGCTAGCATCTACTGAACACTTACTATTTGCCAGACACTATTCTTACATTTTTAAATCTTCATAAGATCTTTATAACAGATATTAATTTTTAAAAAGATTTTTATTTATTCATGAGTGACACAGAGACACAGGCAGAGGGAGAAGCAGGCTCCCTGCAGGGAACCTGATGTGGGACTTGATCTCAAGACCTGGGATCATGATCTGAGCCAAAAGCTTAACCACTGAGCCACCCAGGTGCCTGAGATATTAATCTTTTTAAATTGAGATAAAACTGACACACAAAATTATATTGGTTTTAAGTGTACAACATAATGATTTGATATACAGATATTGCAAAATGATTACCACAATGAGTTTAGTTAATACTCATTATAGTGAAAACATTATAGTGAAAATGATCTTCTTCTTGTCATGAGAACTGTCATCATGTTGATGTCTATCCTTGCAGCCTCTTCTGGGGCTTCCTTCTAAACAGCCACAATAGAACGACACCTGGAAAGGCTGCTACCTAGACCCTGAGATAGAATTAGGGCCTCTTCTTCCTCAATCCCCAACAGTTTCCTCAGAATCAGAGCCAAAGCCAAACTGACATTATAAATAGGCCTGAGGAATCCTTTGGTGAGGTTAGCTCTGAAATGTTGGGTATCTTCACAATTAATAACTTGATCTCACAGGATTCTGTTTAGCTATGTGATCAAGTCAAAGGCCACGCACACCACTTCTCTCCTGGTTCTGGAAACATGGCTAGGCCTTTGCCAGACCCCACTCTGGGCATAATGGGCTCCTCGTTTCTCACTCCCGAGCTGGCAGAGCTGGTGTCCTGGTCTGATCTGGTGAGGAAGCAGGTGTCAGTTTTCACCCAGGAGAACAGTTGTGGCAAAGCCTGTTCCCACTGGCCTACTTTCTCAGAGGGCAACGACAGTTCACATGGGCCGCCAGAGGCCTCAGGGCATTTCCTAGTGTTGAGGGGCTCTCGGCCATCACCGTCCCTCTCTTGCCTCCCAGAGGGGCTGCTCTGCCTGGCCCCCTTATGTCTAGTCTGGAAGGGAGCATTCACAGCTTCCAGCAGGACCTCACTCGAGGTCCTCCTGTCCTCCAGGAAGAGTCTGCTGCTGCCACGTAGCCCAGGTGCCCTCCAGTGAGGCTGCCCACCTCTTCCCACTCTAACCCAGCAGTGCTAACCACCTCAGCCATGACCTGTTGAGCGTCTGCTATATGCTGGGCGTTGAGTATAATCTCTACATTCCATCTTGCTCTGTCCTTACAATGACCCGCGAAGCAGTTATTAGCCTCACTTCACAGATGGCGAATCTGAGCCTGAGTTCTCGACGTCTGAAACTCAGCTAGAATCAAGAGGACCTTAAGTGTGAATCTAGTTCTGATTCAAGCTCATAACCACGACCATGGTGTCACTTTACTTGAAAATGACCTTTACCTTTCAACACAATGACAGGTGTCGCTTGCCCCTCATGTCCTCTTCCTCCTCCAGCTTTTCCTCTTAGAAACTCTTTTCCTTCTTTTCACTCTGAATTCCCCCCAGGCTCCAAAATAACCCCCAAACTCTGATAGCCCTTCTACTTGTAATGCTTTCACTGGCTACATTCCTGCCAACATATTCCACAACCTCCCTCTTTTAAGGAGTCCCACCAGAGCCTAAGGGTTTTTGAAGGAGTTCCACTCCCAGGAGCCACAGAAGGCTCCCGTGTGGTCTACCTTGAGTCTCAAATCACAGCTTCTAGCTCTGCAATTTATAGGAGAGACCCAATTCCAAAGTGCTTTCTTGCCAGCAAGGGGGTTGAGAGATAGCTCAGAGGGGTCAGGCTGGGAGGAAGGCAGTGGGAACATGGGACTCAAGTCTTGGGCCCAGATGATTCCGATGACCAGGTTGGTGAAAAATGGCCATCTTGGATAGAAATGAATGTACCCATTTTGCTTCAGATATAAATAACCAGCTCAACTGAAGTGGTGCTAGAGATAAGCGAAATTTCATGGCCCCAGAGGTAATTGATACAGTAAAAAGATCCAAAGGAACAAAGCACAGTGTCTGTGGCTGTACAGCTGGGAACCAGAAACCAGCAATATTACGGGACCCAAACTTATGGGGTAGTTTACCGTGTGGTAAGGGGAGCCACTTTAAGGACTCAGACAAGCTTGTCCCTAGGATGGGAGGCCTTGGCTGGTTATCAGGGAGAAAATCAAAATATTTGATGACAGCCATGGCTAGGCATCATGCCAGCTGGGATGATGCCTAGCCATGGGATGGATGAGGATCCTTCAGTTCATGGGGCATCAGAGGGTCCTGGGTAAGGACCAGGGAGCACTCAGGGTTTGGAGCTCCAGGCAGGGACTGTTTGGCAAACAGTACAGAAGTGTATTCAGATATGGTAATAACCAATACAGCTGCGTGGAAGGGTGGGCTTGACGGCTTTCAGGGAAGCCACGTGGGAGAAAGGGCTCTACAGCTCAGGCCACAGACACACCCAGCTCTGGCTCCCGCCTCTTCCCTGGCCTTGATTCCTGGGGCTGATCTTTCCAGGACTCTACTTCCCCTTGAGACCTACTCAGGACAGGCAGATCTTGCCAGCTCACATGGAAAAGATGTCCCGCCTTGACCCTCAGGACTGGCTATTAGGCAATTCAATAGTCCCCCTTCCTATCCCCATAATTATAGGTAGGACCTTGGTGGGGGCGGGGAGCGCAACTGCCTAAGCTCTTCCTATGCACCAGGCCCTGGGCCCGACCAGGCGCACCACATCTGTTCTCATTTAGCCCCCCAACCACACTCTGAGGAGGGTGGTGTTATCCCAACTTTGTGGAGAAGCCTGGGTTTAGAGAGACTGCATCTCACACAAGGGCACAGTATAGAAGCAGCAGGGCCAGGACTCAGGTGCAGATCTACCTGACAGCAGGGTGGCATCCGGGGCGCGGGCACTCATAGTGAGTTAACCAAACTGGCTAAAGCTAGCTCTGGGTCATGCACTGGACTACTTAACAGCAGAGGCAGGAGTAAGCCCTCCGTTGCTGATTCAGGGCTCTCCCTGCACCCCAGGTCTAGCTGTCACCACAAATCCATCATTGGAAGTTAGCCATGGGCTTCCAGGGGCAGGCTCCCAGGTTGGGGTGGGAATTCGGGAGGTTGGGTCTGACAATCATGTTTCAGAAGTGGTGGGTGTGATACCCACCCCCAGGCCAGGTGGACCCTAACCAAACCAGCCCACAAGGTTTGGGTGCAGGAGAGGGCAAGACAGCTCCCAGGGAGCCTGTGGGAACTCCCTCCTCAGGGCTTCTCGAGGCAGGCCTGGCTGGTGATGCCGCCGCCTCCTCCCCAGAGAGCTGGGTATATACATCCCACCAGTTCCTTGCAACATCTGTGTCAGAGCTTCGAATAGCCTGGTGATAGCTTCCAGTATGTATGGGCCTTCCCTCAAAGGACATCACTGGGATGAGGACTTTATGGGACCTCAGAACATTTCCCAGCTGTCTGAGCAACATCCCAGACCAGGGGGTTCCTGGGAGGAGCTACCATGGCTCTTTCCCTTTGCATCACACAGGCTAGGTGAGGGTCAGGGCAAGAAGTCCAGCTCTGAGTCACAGACCCTCTGGGACCCGAGAGGGACAGGCATTGTTCTCAGCTGCTTCATTCCCTGCTTCAGATGCTCTATCGCTTCTCTGGAAGCTCTCCCCCAGCCCAGGTTCCAGGGGCTCAACTAGACTGGGGAGGCAGGAACAACAGCTGACCAAAGGCTCTTCCAGTCCCCTGAGTGCTGTGGGGAAACGTGGGCGCCCCCCGAAGGTGGTACCTGTCCTGACCATGGCAGCAGGGCACCAGGCACCATGCAGCTCGGAGCTCTCCTCCTTGGGCTCATTGGAGGCTGAGTGGGGTCTCCATCTTCCACCCCGAAAGGACAAGACACTTTCAGGCCATTGCTCATCTCATTCAGTGAGTCAGTGTGGCCTGGGGGAAGGGCCCGGAGAGGAGAACCGGGAAGAAGTAGCTGCTGACAGTCCTGGCCATGGCATGCCCATGGCAAATTGGAAGCTTGAGGTAAATGAGAAAGCTGAGGTAGAGCTGGTCCGGAGCCCTGGAATCCTGGCCTTGAACCCAGAGTCTCTCTAGGAGGCCCTCAGGAGTCAGATGGTGGGCCCAGGAGTCTTGACCACAGATCCAGCTGAACTTCCTGGCTGATATGACAGGTTGGCAATGCCACCAATCCTCATGAGACACCATGCCGCACACTTGCACAGCATGGCAAGGATGTCCACAGGGTAAATGCCCGTTCACCGCTAGCTCAGGCAAGCATGGATCCACCCCTGGCAGTTCCGAGCACCGTCTACCCGGGTGCTGACCTGGCCCCAGATGGCCCTGTGCCACACACAGCACCTTGTCGAGTCTGTGGGTACCCTCAGCTGAGCCATCCATCCAGGAGCCCCAACTGGACCAGCCCACACCCCCAGTGCTAGGTGGGGGCTGCCCAAGCCTAAGTGCTCCGTGTCTGGAGTCTACAGTTCTCCCAGCCCTCCCCGTGCCTGCCTCCTGCCCTCAGCGGCCAGCCCCACCCACCCAGCACTTCTCCCTCACCTCCAAGGCACAGGGGGCTGAAGGCTTGCCATCTTCTGCTTGGCATAGGTCTGGTAGGTAGTGGGAGAGCCAGGCAGGCATCTGCTTCTGGAGCATCGTGGCAGCTCTCCAGCTGGGTGGCAAGATTGGGAATTTATATTCTGACTCAGAGCTCCGCCCTCTGGACACCTCTCTGCTGTGGCTGGGATTGCATGGGGAGGGGTTACGGTGGGTAGGCGGATGGGGGGTGTGGGGGGCCTCAACTCTTTAGTATCAAGGGACTCAGAGGCCTTCAGATCTTGGAAATGCAGGAACCAGCAGGGTTCCCCAGGTCCTGGCCCTTGGGGTCAGCAGTCTGCTGGCCCCCAGAAACTCAGAGCCAGCTGGCTGTCCAAGGGCACGGGTGGTGAGAACAGCATGCAGAACCTTCACAGTTTTCAGGTTAGCCCAGCAAGGATTTGGGAAAGCTTTCCCTCTTTAGCTTATCAAGATCATGGCTCAGAGATGCCCTTCTGGGCATCTGGGGGAATGGGGGGTGGTATGCTCCCTCCTAATTCCACTTAGTCCCACAGCTTCATACCCAGGAGCTGTGGACAGGGACCTCGTGGGAGGCAGGGAGGTCAGGGCTCCCAAAGTTAGAGGGAGAAGAAAAAATAATTGCCTGAATCCTTGGTGAGGAAAGGGTCAAGTGCAAGTGTCCCCAGCTCTCCCTCCTGGGAGGCCAAGTGGAGAGAGGGTGTGCCCAGCCTCTGCCTATATCAGGGCAGCTTAGAGGATGCTCCTGTTCCACCCAACTGATCTCTATCTCGGCCTGATGGCTGGCTCACTCAGAGGCCTGGTGAGGTGACTTCGCCTGCTTGGCTGCCCAGCTGGGTACACTGGGAGTTTCCTGCCTGAGCTATCGCCCGAGGCCCTACAACCGGCTTTTCTGGCCCACATATTAAAGCGATTTTGTGAAATCGAGGGTGAGATCTGAACACAGGGCTGACTAGGCCCGAATGCATGGATGAAACCCAATCGGTGGTATCTGGGGGACCCTTTCCTGTGCCAGGCAGAGGTGCCTCCACCCTGCTCCCCTCTGCCTGTCAGGCCCTCCAGAAGGTAGATGGGGCCTTAGCCTAGACCCCTCTTAGTGTGCATCCTTCCCTTCCCTTCCCATCTACCCCACTGCCAAGGACACAGACTCAGTACCCAACCCCTCAGTGGAATCCATTAAATTCAATTTAGTTCACACACTTAGTGAGTACCAACTGTATACATGCTACTAAGAAAGGAAATTCAAGGCCTGAAGTTGCTGATAGTCCAGGTGATGGTGGGTGGGGGTGGGTGGGACAAATGCATTCAACCCCTCAGAGGCTGAGGTCCAAGTCTCCTATGGTAACGGAGAAGAAGCAATACATCCTAGAAGAAGTAATACAAATCCTTCACATTTGTAAACATCCATGGTCTACAGAGCTGTCACTTAGCTAATAACTGGCTAGGGGGCCCAGAAAATAGGAGGTGGATTTGGCTGGGAGGTGAAAGAGTAGATCTGGGAAGACTTCATGGATGAGGTAGCACCTGATTTGGGTCTTAGAGGACAGCTAGGATTTCAAAAGCTAATGAGAGGTGGGAAAGGTATGCTAGGAGGAAGGAATAGCATGAGCAAAAGCAGGGAGGCCAGAAAGCAGGGTATGCTCAGCTATGCAAGTACTCTGGTGTCAGAGTAGTAAGGTGTGGAAGGAGATGTGGGGGTGGAATGCGGGATACAGGGAATGGTGGAAGTTGAGCAGAGAGAAGGGACGCTTTGTGAAGGAACAAATCTGGCAAGATACATTAGGGCCCAATAGTTGTGACCCTCAAAGTCCAAGCTTTAAATTTGAACTTACTCTGTAGGCAATGAAGAGCCATAGATGGTTTCTGAGCATGAGAGCAATGCAATCAGAGCTGAACTTTACGAAGGCAACACTGATTGCTATTGTGGGCAACCCAACCCACAGCACTACAGTGCCCTGAAAGTGAGGGATGAAGGGATGGTGAGTTCTGGGGCACCTCCTCACTGGGGTTCCCTCCTGTCTCTCCTCCCTCCACTCCTTTATCTTTGCCTATCAAATAGGCCCAGGGCAAGCCCCAAACTCCAGAGCATTCCCTAAAGCCTGGTACTTGATCCTCTTTTCACTGAAGAAGCCCAGCCATGCCCCTCTCCATCCATCCAAGGTAATACATGGAAAAATCTAGGTCTCCAACCCTTGTATTTCCTCGTCCATAAATGCCTTGAGAACAGGGCCTCATTTTTAGCTGAATGGAATCAAACTGAATAGGAGGCTCACAGGAGGTGAACTGGAGTGTCTTCCTCTGCACCCTCTGCATAGCTTCTGACCCAGGTGGGAGCTGGTGCAGTGGCAAACTGAGTGGACCAACCTCCCAGCAGGCACTTACTTACTGCCCGCTGTGTGCCCAGCTCTGCACTCATTGCTCAGGGCCGTCGAGAAGGAAACAACGAAGAATGTATGATCTAGTGAGGGGAGAAGAGGGAGCTGAACTCAGGGGTAACCAGTCCAGTGTGGGGCAGGAGGGGAAGAGGACTCCGTGGGGATGGTGGGAAGTGTGCTGGGAAGGTAATGAGTGCCAGTCCCTGTGACTGGGGAAGGAGCGCATAAACCTCCTCTTCTCATCTAACAGGCCTCTAAGGAACATACAATTTAAGCTAAAACTTAAGCTCTTGCTAAACAGCTGATGCTCCAAGCCAGGTTCCCATTCTCCCCTTGTCCCAGAGTCACTTTGGGTGGAAATTCCAAAGCTGCTGCTGCACAAAGTGGAAAGGACTATGCTCCTTCCCATCCCACCCCTCTCCTCCTTGATGAGCAGGGAGCCTGAGATCTCCACAGAGCCCTCAACCTGTGTCCTTGGAGGCCTCTGCCTGTGGCGGAGTCTGGGGCCTTGTTCACCGATTCCCATTGACCAGGGTGACCTGGACTTGCTTCTCACCAGCAGCCCCCTTGGCCTCAGGTAATCCAGCATTGAAAAGTACATTTGTTCCAGTGGTTCAACTGACAGCATTCCCCCGAGAATTCAGCAAGGATAAATTCCTCCCCTTTCTTCTTTCAAGATGCCTCTGGTATCTATGCCCATCCTGTCAGTGGCATCTGTCTCTTGGCCTCCTCTGACTCCCCGGGATTCCTCCCCCACACACCTGGCTGGCCAGTGAACTTTGTAACCACCCCTCCAACCTGCCATTCTCCTGCTCAAATGCATCCGATGCTTAGCCATCCTTTGCCAACAAGTTCCTTAAAGCAAGTAACAGTCCTATGTGTATGTGGCATTTTAGTATATGATAAAGGAAATCTTTCAAATAGGGATGAAGGGTGGACTATTCATTATTGGAAAAGCTAGCTTGCCACTGGAATAAAATTGTTAGCTCCTAACTTGATAACTACACAAATTCCAGACAGATTAAATACCTAACGATTAAAATAAAGCTAGAGAAGATTTAAAATAAGATATTGGAGAATATTAATATAATATTGGGATGAAGAGAATCTTACTAAATAAGCCAATAAGGATATATCACCAGATTTGAAATACAGAAACATAAAATTTCAGTAAAGCAAAAGATGCCACAAGCACACTGCTACATGCAAAATACATCTTAAATCTCCTCCTCTTAATAAATATCCATGTGTAACAAGTTCACCCTTAAAAAAATAATGGTAAAGAGGAGAGTCTTGCCCTACCAGATTCTGAGATAAACTATAAAGCTACACTTAAGCAAACAGTATGCTGTTGGGGCAAGAACTGGACCAATGGAATAGAATTGAGGGATCAGAGACATGCCCTATATTTAAGAAAACTGAATCAATGATAAAGTCGGCACCACAAATCAATAGGGAAAGAATAGATATTTAACAGATGATATGGACATGAGTGGCTCACAAAATAGAACAAATTAAACAGTATCCCCACTTAATTCCATATTTTTGAAAAATGGGCTGTAAATGGGATCAACACCTGAGATGCAAAACTATAAAGTTAATAGAAGACAACATAAGAGAATCTAGTTTTGATCCGGGGGTAGGAAGGATTTCTTTAAGATTTTATTTATTTATTCATGAGAGACACACAGAGAGAGGCAGAGACACAGGCAGAGGGAAAAGCAGGCTCCCTGTGGGGAGTCTGATGCAGGACTCGATCCCAGGACCCCAGGATCATGACCTGAGCCAAAGGCAGATGCTCAACCACTGAGCCACCCAGGTGCCCCTAAAATAAGGATTAAAACATGGAGAGGAGAAGTAAGTGGCTTAGGGTCACCATGGTAAGTGACAGGTTTGGGAGGCAAGTCAGTCTGACCTCAGAACTTCTGGCTCTAAAAACACATGCATCAGGAGATGTATGTTAGTATGTCCAGATGTGTAAGAACCTCTGGCCAACAAGCTAGACATGATTCCATTAGGATGATGAGGAAATACAAAATAAGTATAAACATGACAAGAAAGCACCCTCATCCCAATGTAGGTAATCCTTATATTCTTAGTGTTGACAGTAGATCTGGCTCACAAATATGTTCCATTCTTCCCCTTTATAGCAAGATGTTTATTATTTTCCAGCTCCTGACTCTCTCCCACAGAGCAAGATTGGCTGGAGACTTTGCACACTGCGTTCACACTTTGTCCCTGGTCACGTCAGTGAGAATGATGTGGCCATTGTCTCAAACTTGACTGAACACGGTAGGGTTAAGGGTTAAGGGTCTAGACTTTAAAGTTTCATAGACCTGGATTTGAGCGTGGCTTCTGCTACCTATTGGCTGCATGAACTTGGGTCAATTTATCCCTGTACACTTGAAGATTGGAGAACTTGAGTTTCTCCATCTGTAAAATGGAAAGCATAAGGATTTCAACCTCATGGGTTGGTTACAGACACTAAAGGAGATAATGCGCTCAGCACATGGCTCATCTTCAGTTAGCAATGGTTTCACCAAAGAGGTGTGATGCGCAGGATTATCAGAGACACCTAGACATCATTCCTGTCCAAGGAGCTCCCTCCTGTTTTATTGGTGAGACAGGAAGGTCACTCAAGTGGTCTCAGGATGAACCTGTCACATCTGAGGAGAGGTGTGAAAAATATGCCATTCAGAAAACACG